GACAACAGGAAGCTACTATTGCTGCCATTTAAACAATGTTTAGATTTAAAGCACTACATATGATACTTTCATGTGTCTGTTGATGTTACAATGTGCAGCAACGCATCACGGCAGTACTCACCTTGTACACCTGACCGTAGGTCCCATTGCCAACTACTTCAACTAGCTCAAAGATCCCAGCTGGATCCTAAAAAAGTACAAATAAATAAATTGTTATTAAAAATAACAGCAACATGCTGAGAAATCCAAGCATGTTTGTTCTCGAGTGAAGCAACATAGTGTATAGGAAATGCGACATTGCAGCAAAGTCAAAATGCAACAGGCTAGTGCCAAGAAAAACTATGACAAACAGTTTCATTGCTCAGAGCTGAGGGTACAACTCAAAGTTATGCTTGGATGGGGACTGAAGAAGTGGGACTGCAAATGTAGATGAGAGTTTGAGCTGAAGATGAGACTGCACCAATTTGTATCAGAACAAAATCAGTTTGGCTGTTAGTGGAGGATGGTGCGTTAATTTTACAGTTTGATGAAAGCTGTAAAACACTTAAGTTACATTTCTTTGTTTCCCTACGCAAAAATGAGGAATAAATACAGAACAAAAACAGAACAGTGACACTGGCTAAATACGGCTTATGTTTAGGTCACGGCCTGAGTGGCTACAGAAACATCATCACACCTAATGTCATATCAAATATTTGTAGTCACACAGGCAAACGACTAAGCACCATGAGGCCACAATAAAGTAGCAACTAAACATTACAGTTGGGGAAAAACACGCTGTGCGCTACTTGGACTGCATCTTAAACATTAAACAAACTCTGTTTATTTCAGTGGTCACTTGTTGCATTGTTGCACACTAACTTTTCGGCAAGTCTACACCGGGAGAAACCTTGTGTAAACAGTGCAGCTTGTAAAGTTGACACCAAACAGGACACAGAGCAGACAGGAGGCACCGTGGCACACGACACGCTATATTTACACGCCAAGTTAAAGCACACTGAGTTTGTGTAACAGTGAAGAAATAGTAGCGAGTACCGACCGTTAGACGAGGCACAAAAACCAATCACTGTTTGATTACTCAGCTGCAGCTTGAAAGTACCGTTAAATTTTCAAGCAACACCCACCACATCCCGCACTGTTTAACATTACCTTTTATATGTATATACAGAAAAAAGAAGCAAGGTTTCTTTACTTACTCTCAAAGCAGCGAGGTCTATGCTGTCCAAACTTCGCGTGGTGTTTTCTCTCGACATTGCTGTCAGAAACTTTGTCAGTATGTTGATATGTGTAAACAAGACATGGACGGTCAGAGTTTGTCTCCCAACGCTACGCACTAACGGGCTTTTCTCTAGTCGGGTCCATTCTGAAGTTTAGCTTCACCAAGCTAGTCGCCGAAAACACGCAACATCCGGCTGCACCTTTCAGAATAAGTGTCTTTCTTATTCTGTCTTTCCAGACTGCGATTTTTCTTTGTGTAAAGTCTTTATTGTTACTTTTTGAGACAGATAAAACATATCATAGCTATGTTATGAATATATCTTATTTACAATATACTAAATTTATATCAATTTATATTTCAGTATATGGCATAAATCTTACTCTGACAACCATGACGTTTTTGTGGTTATACACTGTCGCAATGTTGCCAGCACCATTTAGTTTTTCTACCGAGGAGGGGGGTTTTTTTTTGTGTGTGTGTGTGTGTTTTTTGTTTTAATCTAAAGAACGGCAGAGTAAAAAAGTCACTCAACAAGACCTTGTCTGTGAGAAGGAACTTTTGCTTACACTCACAGTTTTTAAATAAATACATACATACCTACTCTATACTACTCTACTCTTTACTCTAAGGGACACGGTGAGTTTGCTGCATATTATTATTCATTTTGCTATACAGATGAGGATGTAATGCATTAGTAGGTTAACTCACACTTGAACCTTGAAAGTTTGATACAACTAGCATTAGCTCTGTTGCTAGTAGCAACAGACCATTTCCATAGCACGTACTTTAAGATGTAATTATGAGAGTAGCACATTTGTAAGTAATAATTCTAATTAATACCAAGTAAGTTGATTTCTTAATGCTGCTACAGAAATGGGAAAACTGGTAAGGAATGTGTCTTTAAAGTATATGCAGCAGGTTTTCCATGGATGAGGGTGGTGATCCTTATACACCTGAATGGCTGATTTACCACACCGTGTCATGACTAAAGACTCAACCTGTGATTAACAAATGCTGTTGTAACAAAGCCTAAATTAACATGTAGTGTAATGTAATGTATCCACATTTCTATGTCAAGACCTACTGTCCAATTTAAGGTTCTAGTGATAAAACCTAGGTTCATAATTGGTATAGGTAAAATAGGATTAAATAATATATCATAAAATATTCTTTTTAGTTCATTGCTATTCATACATAAGTGTATGAAATGCAAAAATCAAATTTGGGCTTTTGATTCAATTTCCCTTTAATAATACTAATGACAAACTAAAAAAAAAAAAAGGTAAATATGTGATGGGTGCATTTGCCTTAAAAGAAAATGATGAAAACAATTCGTCTGCTGTTGTTACACAATAAAAAATATTGTACAGTATCGCACAAACCTTTTGACCCAAACCTCATTTCTTTATATTTTTGTTTGGAAAATGAGCCATAAATGTAGTGTTTTATTAAAACGTGTGCAAAAAATGCACAAACAGGATATAAGTAACTCTAACAAGTAACTACAATTACTCTCTTAAGCTACTTCAGCACTGGCAGTGAATAAAAACCTCTAGCATCTTCAAGGAATTACGTGCAACTGCTGCTAGGCAATGTGGGTAAACCTTCACCATGTGCAGGTAAGCAGCTGTCAGCTTCAAAGCCGCGGGTGAGGAGCGAATCGCTTCCAGTGTGGATTCAGCTTCATGCAAACTTGTCATTTCTTTAAAAAGTAAAAATGAAGCTGTTGCAAATCAGACACTTTCCAGATGGAGTTGCACGGTGGATCAAAACGACATTTTTTGTAGTTTTCATCGGTTTTGACAAGATGCCCAACAACCACTGACTGAAATGCCACCCCAAACCATGAGAGCCAACACTGTGGTTTACAGATGGCTCCTGATCTCCTTCCATACATAAGAACAACAGTTTTACATAAATATTTCAAATTAGGAACCACCACTTAGTTAGCTGTTGATACATATTTTCAGTCATTACTTGTGTCATTTGGCATACCTTACTTTTCTGATGAGGCTTTGGTGAAGGTAGTGAGTTTCTTAGAGTTTATGACACATTACGATGCTAAGCTCTCAGCTCTCAGCAGTTCTTTGGAATCGCCTGCTACGTTACTACTATAACTGCTGCTATCAAACTGTGTCATCTTTGGTACTTTTCATAGTTTTAGCTAAAGAAATGGCTGTTGCACTTTTTATTACAGCTTAGTAACAATGTGACAATAGTGGCATAACAAAGAGGAAAAAGAGGCAAGAAAACAGTAACAATATAAAACAGCATTAGCTTCAAATATAAAGAAATTAAGGGTGGCTCAAGACTTGTGCACAGTTCTATATGCTTAAATATGAGTGCTGAGGATGATTCATCACAAAAAATGTATCCCTGAACTCTATTTAGTTAGAAAAACAATTATGTGTGTTAATTAAGTGTAAAGTGTATTGGAGGAATTGTGCTTTACATTTTAGTCTCTTGACCGAAGCAGCGATTGAGTCAGGATGGTGAAATAAGGGTCATTACTTGGTGGGACACAGTCACTGTGTATGTGTATGTGCTGGGGAGAAACAGAAAGACTACGCTAGACTTCTGTGTAAAAGAATGAGAGATGGCAAGTGACTCTCTTGCTCCCTCTGTGCTGTGCGCTTGTGTGTCTCGGTGAATGTGACAAATTAAAGAGTTAGAGAAGGGGGAGGGAGTGGATGGCTGCGAGTGTGTAATGTGTGTGTCGCAGTGAAGAATGGTTTCTCTGTGGTTTCACACAGTGGCCCTCTTCATGCCAGGGTCAGCTGCCTGCACGGGCACACACACACACACACACACACACACACACACACACACACACACACACACACACACACACACACACACACA